CACTGGGTGTTGTATGGAAACCAATTTGACAATAAATTTCATATATTGAAAAATAAATAAATAAATAAATGAATAAATAAAATAAAAAGCAAAAAAAAAAAAAATTTTCCTCCTAAGAAAACTTCAGGCCACATGGCTTTACTATCAGTAAAGGAAGAAAACCAGTTAAGGAAAAACTATCATTCTACATACACTCTTCAAGAAGAAAGAAACACTTTCCACCTTACTGTATGAATATAGAATACGCTGATATCAAAATCAGAAAGATATTCCAAAAACGGACACCTACAGCCCAATAATCCTTATGAACATAGAAAATATTAGCAAACTGACTGAAGCAATATATAACATACATCATGACCAAACTGGCTTTACCCCAGGAATGAAAGGTTGGTATAACATTTGAAAATTAACATAATTTACCACCTTGAAAACTAAAAAAGCAAAATATCCCAATAGATTCTGAAACAGTTCTTGACAAAGTCAACATCCATTCATAACAACCCTCAACCTGATGAAGGAGAATAGAAGAAAATAAAAGTAAATCCCTCAACCTGATAAAGGATAACTATGAAAAACCAAAATCTAACTTCACTAGGAACAAGCAAGTATCCACTTGAACCTCTTCTATTAAAAAATATACTAGAGCCAGTGACATAAAGAAAGAAAAAGGAAATAAAATACAGACTGGTAAAGAAAAAAAGTAACACTGCATTTATTTATCTAAGACAGTACCTACTATGTATATAATAGCCTCAGCAATCTCTAAAACAGCTAATAGAATAAGTGACTTTAGCATGGTTTCAGGATACTATTTGTTGAAAAGATTACCCTTTATCCACTGAATTGCCTTAGAAAATATCTTTCCCTCCCAGGAGCACTGCAAGTATGAGAAGAGGAAAGATAAAGTAGTTCCTTAATGGTTCAAATTGATTCTTCACCAGAGAGAACGTCCAAATCTATTAGGAGGTCAACAAAATTAGCCAAAAGATGGCCAAACCCTGGCCTACAAAATAAGTCTTGTTAAAATCAACATTATAAAGAAGACTTATGCTAAAATTACTTGTGTATGATAAATAATAACTAGAGGATCAAACTCTAATAATACTAAGACATTTCTAATAGCAGTAACAATGAAGAAAGATTTTATATCTTACCAGATTTCTTTTTTTCAGATAATTTGCTTGGTGTCTTGAAATTATTGATTTCTTCCATTGTAATAATCACTCTAGGTCCTATGATGAAAACAAATTGAAAGTTGCACTCCAGTTCTGCAGAATACAACTCTCATTCATGAAAAAAAAATCCTATAACACTATGACTCATTTTATCATATAAACATAAAATTTGAGAACTGAAAAAGACCATAACAAATATTTACTTTAATTTTATCTACAATGAGAAAATTAAAATCTAGAGAGGTACAACTACTTACCCAAGGTCACTGTTTATTTGTTTGTTTGCTTGAATTAAAAAGCAATATATGCACTTGGTAAAAAAAAAAAAAAAAAAGGTAATATATACATTTGGTTAAAAAAAAAAATCACCTAGTACAAAAAGGTGTAGTTAACTTTCCCTCTCACACTTCCCAGGGGCCATTGTTCATAGGTCTTTTATAAGCTTTAAAGAAACTTGTCTATGCAAGAGGCATTCATTTATAATAGCCAAAAAAAGGAAATAGAAGTATTCATCAGATGATGAAAAAACAAAATATGGTATACAACACACACAAGAGAATATTATTCAGTCAGAAGAAAGAGTCCTGATGTATACTGCAACGTGAATGAACCTTAAGAACATTATGCTAAAGGGAAAGAAGCCAGACACAAGACGCCACATGCATGATTCCGTTTACACAAAACGTCCAAAATAAGCAAATCCACAGACAGAAATTAGATTAGTAATTGCCAGGAGCTGAGGAGAATGGAGAACATAGAGTGACTGCTAGTGGGTACGGGGTATCCTTTTGTGATGATAAAAATGTTCTAAAATTAGGTATTGACTTAACATATTCAACTCTGACTATTCCTAATAAAATCACCAAATTGTATCCTTTCAGAAACTGAATTTTATTTTATGTGAATTATATCTCAATAAATTCTGTAAAAATTATCTATTAACAGAAAATGTACATACTTCATATACAAGCAATTAATCTAAGCTTTTTATTTCTTCTGTAACATATTTCTTAAGGAATCTTTTAAATAAAAACTTTAAATATTACTTTTTCTTTTTAAAAAAAAGTTAGGTTTCATATCAGATCTATTGTAAAGCAAACTGTCACTACATGTCTATAAGCTTGCTTGGTTTGTATCCAAAGTATATAAAGAACTTATACAACACCAAATAATAATTCAATTAAAAATGGGCAGAAGACACGAACAGACAATTTTTCCAAAGAAGACATAGATGGCCAACAGGCACATGATGAAAAGATGTTCATCATCACCCCATCAGGGTAATGCAAATCAAAACCACAATGAGGTATCACCTCACACCTGTCAGAACGGCTAAAATCAAAATCACAAGAAACAGTGTTGATGAGGATGTGGAGAAAAAAGAACCCTCATGCATTGTTGGTGGGAATGCAAACTGGTACAGCCACTATGGAGGACAGTATGGAGGTTCCTCAAAAAATTGCAAATAGAACTACCCTATGATCCAGTAATCTCACTACTGGGTATTTACCCAAAGAATATCAAAACACTAATTCAAAGGGATACATGCACCCTGAAGTCTATTGCAGCATTATTTGCAATAGCCAAATAATGGAAGCAACCCAAGTGTCCATCAATAAATGAATGGATAAAGATGATGTGGTTTATACATGCAATGGAATATTAGCCATTAAAAAAGAATGAAAGCTTGCCACATGCAACAACACGGATGGATCGAGAGAGTATAATGCTAAGTGAAATAAGCCAGTCAGAGAAAGACAAATACCATATGATTTCACTCATATGTGGAATTACAAAAAACAAAACAAATGAACAAAGGTGGCAGGGGGAAACAAAAACAAACCAAAAAACTCTTAACTATAGAGAACAGTTGGTGGTTCCCAGGGGGAAGGATGGGGAGGATGGGTGAAAATAGGTGAAGAGGATTAAGAGTACACTTATCTTGGGGTGCCTGGGTGGCTCAGTCAGTTGAGCTTCCGACTTCAGCTCAGGTCATGATCTCATGGTCTGTGGGTTCAAGCCCCGCATCAGGCTTTGCGCTGACAGCTCAGAGCCTGGAGCCTGCTTCGGATTCTGTGTCTCCCTCTCTCTCTGCCCCTCCCCCACTCTCACTTTGTCTCACTCTCTCAAAAATAAATAAATGTAAAAAAAAAAATTTTTTTTAAAGTACACTTCTCTTGAGTACTGAGTAATATACAGAACTGCTGAATCACTATATTGTACACCTGAAATGAATATAACTATATTCTAACTGTATTCATTGTATGCTAACTACACTGGAATTTAAATTAAAAAAATAAATTAAATATGGGGCGCCTGGGTGGCTCAGTCAGTTAAGCAACTGACTTTGGCTCAGGTCATGATCTCACGGTTGGTGGGTTCAAGCCCTGTGTCGGGC